TTTCGACTGTAATCTAACAATTGTTCAAGAGTTCTAAAGTACTCATACACTCAGATACAAAATAGTTTTAGGCAAAAAAGACTGCAATTCACCGAACAGTTAATTTTCCAGTTGACCGTGGTTAACTGGCAACTTTCTACTGGGTTTGAACGACATAGGTATACTCTATTGAATAAAATAAATATACTCAACTTGTTATTATTTATATATGGAATAACAATCTAAATATATCTCTGTTATTCAATAAAGTTCAAAATACAATTGTATTATATTAACAACAAACAAAGTTTTGTTTTTTGGATTATACATTCATGATATCTTTTATTACAGAATTGCAAAACATTTTATTCCAATCTCAACTAAATTCTAAATTCATCTGACACATACTAAAATTTTCATTTCATTTGATCGAATTGTAACAATTCTAAGAAGACAGACAGTCATGATAATGCACTCATCCAAAAATGATCTCTTACAACAGAGTAATTGAAAACAGTCCACACTTCTCGAGATTTTGGAAGGTTTGTTCCTAGAAAGATTTATCATCACAACATTACGGTAACGTAATCATCGTTCTTCTTTTTCTACACTCTCTAAAACAGCACATTTTTTCAGCATTGACAACAATACTCGATGATCCATTGATGTCAAATTTCAATGATACTACTGTTATTTCTATTTCTTTAGATAATAAAGTAGTGTTCGAAATATGATAAAAGACAATGGGACTCTGTTTTCACCATTTTTTCACAAAAAAATGCTTCATTAATGCTAGCAACTGCTATTTATTGTCGTCGTTATTCAAAATAAATGACATCTATCGATAGCGAATATACGAGAATCTATAAAAAATTTTTGAATGAATAAGTTCAGTTGTCTCTTGTTCGAGAAATATTGAAGAACTCTGAATAGAAATATCTTTATCATATTTATAGCTATCGAAATATAATATATGAGCCGTTTTTTTTCACCAACAAAACATAGGTGTCATAAACCTTGATCAAAAATCTTTTGTTGATAACAACAATCGTATCAATGCTATGTAGAATAGAACGAAAAAAAAAACGTGTATTTGTGTTGCTTGCCCGAATGTGGATTGATTGGTGGCCTATATTCTTATCTTTCGGTGTTTTTTTTTCTCTTTTTTTCATATTCTGACAAACAGTTTCAAACATATGCTCATTTTATACTAGTTGACCTTGATAAATTGACTATCATCATGATGTTATTGTCCTTGTCGATAATATGTACTGTACTTTTTCTTTTTGTTATTTACTATTTGGTACCAATTTGGATAAAATATACTAAATTACGACGAGACTATCGTAATATACCATCTCTTCCTATTTCACGTATTCCATTCGTTGGTAATATACATCAATTTGATCAACGACAACATGTCTTTTCTCGTCTTCTCATGAATATGGCAAGAGAATGTCAAAAAGAACAACAAGGAACAGGTTTATTTTGTCTCTGGTATTCACTTTGGCCGATGATTTTTGCATGTACAGGAGAAACCCTTGCAGTAAGAACATGCTACTAAATTTCTTTGTTAGCATTCTATCTCTCGACTTCAGACATTTATTAACAATAGTAAACAATTGGTGAAGTCATTCGATTATACCTTTATGGAGCCTTGGCTAAAGACAGGTCTACTAACCAGGTATAGATGAAATGTTCAATCGATCCTACATATTTTATTTTCCTTTTCCTAGTAACAATGCCAAATGGCGTACACGTCGTCGTCTCATAACACCATCGTTTCATAATACTCAACTGTTACATAATTTTATGCTCATATTTAATGAACAATCATGCGTATTTGCTAAACGTCTTGAAGAATGCATTCGAAACGGGGAAGAAGTGAAGGCATACGATCTCTATCCATACATATCGACATGTACACTCGATATTATTGCTGGTCAGTTCTATTGAATAGATTGAAACTATATTTCTTCATTGATATGAAATTCTAGAGGCGGCCATGGACAAACATGTTGAAGCTCAATCGAGCGGTGGAAAAAATGAATTCGTCGAAGCAACCGGACGGTATAATAAAGTTATAAGATCATAATGCTACTTATAGTTTATTTCTCTAAATCGAACTCCTTGCAATGATTGAACAACTATATATAGGATAAAAAGTCTTATAGATGATAAACATAAAATAAATGATTCATTGAATAACATGTACAATCAGATAGATAAAGAGGAAAAGTGTTATTATTACATCGAAAGAAGATGCAGTATCTTTGACCGATGAAAAATTATCTTGTGAACAAGCTATTGCTAATCGTTTTTTTTCAGAGTATGCTGTATAATAAATCATCGCATACGATCTCCATGGATGTGGCCAGCATGGATCTTCGATCGATTGCCGTTGGGTCGTGAACAGGCCGAACAACTTAAAATCCTTCATGGAGTCTCTCGCAAAGTAACTATTTTCTTTCTCTTACACCCTCTTAATTAATATAATACTTTGTTCTGGTCAATAGATTATTGAAGATCGTCTCGCTACATTCAATGCTGAGAATATAACGAGTGATAGTGGAAAGAAAGTTACTCGTCGTCTTGTCTTTCTTGATAGTCTTCTCGCTCAAATGAATTCCGAACAACTTACATTGGACGATATTCAAGAAGAAGTCGATACATTCATGTTCGAAGTATGCTTTTATTTTTGCTCTTATCATATCTTAATCATAAATTCAATTAGGGACATGATACAACAGCAGCCGCTATCAATTTTACTTGTTATTTAATTGGATCTCATCCGGATGTTCAAGCAAAAGTTCATGCTGAAATAGATGCTATCTTTTCTGGTATTTGTTTTTTTTGTTTTGTCTATTTTAACAATTAAAGATCACATATATGATTGTTGTATAGGTGACAAAGAGAGACCATGCACAATGGAAGATGCACAAAGAATGATCTATCTCGATGCTGTCATAAAAGTAAATGGAACAATAAACTTCTATATACATTCGATGATACAGTTTATATGAACGTAGGAATCTATGCGTGTTCTTCCACCAGTCCCATTTGTTATGCGTGAGGCACAAGAAGATTTTATTTGCAGTGAGTGTGAAGAAGTACATTTTTATGTTGAAGATAAACACTAACTTGAATATCTTTATTTCTTATTTTATTATAGATGGTCAAACGATTCGAAAGGGTACTACTTTATATATTTTCATTTATGGTGTTCATTATGACTCAAATGCTTTTCCTCAACCGGAACGATTTGATCCTGATCGTTTTTATCAAAGCTCTGTAATGGATGAGGAACGTTCACCTTATGCTTTTATTCCATTCTCAGCTGGATCCCGCAACTGTATTGGTCGGTTTCTCTCTTTTACTCTTGATTCTATCAATAATAAGCATAAATGATCATTCTCTTTTAGGTCAACGTTTTGCTCAGCTCGAAGAAAAGGTTGTTTTATCAACATTGTTTCGCCGATATTCTTTGCATACCACACAGACTATCGATGAACTACAAATCTCCTTTGAAGCTATTATGCGACCTGCAGTTCCAATTAAATTCATTGTTGAACATCGACATTTTCAATGATTTTTTAATTTTTTAGTGACATGATATCACTCTTTTATATTGATCAATGTTTGACTCTAATTCATTTTTTTCTCATGTCAACCGATTGCTTTCACTGTGTTCTATCTAGGATTATTAATAATTTCATGAAAAAAATGCGTCATAACGCTTAATATTATTGCATGTAAGCGGTCAACAGTATGAACAATATTTTTTTTTTTGTATATATCTCGTAGATTATTTCTTCATAAAAGATAAGTGCTATAACTAGTAGGAGGGTGTAGGCACGGATGTGAGTTGGGACTCGGCTAGATCAGGGTCTTCTTTTCACCCACACCTACCCCCTCTTTGAATGTTGTAATAAATTCTGTAAATGAGCTATAGGTACGTTTTTCCAAAAATGCTAGTTATTGTGAACCTTGCATTTTTGCAGTTTTTTCGGATTTTTGATATCCAAAAATAACTTTTGGTGAACATACTATATATGTTTAGATTCAGCGCATCAAATTGCATCCGACTATGTATAAAAATAAAAATGCAAAGTACTCAAATTTCGCATTACTTTCACCTAAAAATGTGTTGATCGAGATTTAGCCAATGGATCACATCAAGTAATATTTTTAAAAAAAATCTCATGCTACAATAAATACAAATATCACATTGATCTGTTTTTATGAAACATTTATCGTAGCTCATGTTCTATGTGAATATTTTAGCATGATTTAGGGTGTGGCTGTGGAGAGAGTGCAGATGCAAAGCTACACTCACACCCAACTAGAACTAACGGAAGACTGGAAGTTTCATATTTAATTAGTTTAGTTATACAAAAGAAAAATTCTTGGATGTAGTTCTCTTCTTTCAATGATCGAATTATCAAGAGGAAGAAAAAAAAATGATTTAAATAGTTTATATATTAATATTATATTACTATAATGTATACCAATCAATTCATTACCAAAAGAAATAATCCATTATCAGTAAGTTAATTGTTTAAGTTTTAAATAAAAGTGATGAAAGAATTTTCAATTAATCTTTATCAGTAAAGATTTTGTTTGTTATTAATATTCCTCAAAAATAAAGAATGAAACGTTTAAAAGGCAATAGATAAAAGCATTAATAAATTCTTTAATTCTGATAAACAAATAATATATTTATCTTTATTACCTTTAATGAGTTAAAAAAGTTATTGCTACCAAAAGCGACATCTCAGCTTATTCGAAACGATTATTCAGAGTTTGTAAATTTGTCTTCCTTTTTTTTTGCTTTTTCTCACGTGTCTAAAAAAAGGTAATACAGCTTTCTTCCGTTCTCTTTTTAGCCTGAGTCAGACGTAAAAATACTTGGTTTTTTCCACTAACACATATGATTATTTATGTCTTTCTTAGTAATTGTATTTAAAAAAATTTTTCATTATAGAATATAATTATCTTCTCAACGTCAAACAATATAAAAAATGTCTATTGAGACATTGCCAGTAGAATTATTTCATTGTATTTTGGATAATCTTGACACAGAAACAATCGTTTTTTCAGTTCGACATGTATGTCGATTATTTCGATCGTTTGTGAATACCTATGATCGATATATTTTGAATTTAATCTCAATTTCAAAACGAAATTTTCATCTTCTTTGTCGATTAATCCATCCACATCATGTTATATCATTGAAACTTTCAAACGAAGAACGAATAGCAGATCAAATAGATTTATTTATTTCACTTATTCGTCTACGTCAATTTACTCGACTTTATTCAATAACTCTTCTTGATATTAAGGAATGTCAATTAAATTTCATTTTGAAACGAATTAATCTTAATTTACTTACTTCATTTTCATTCAATATTAAAAGATATGATGACAGACGTATTCAAACAACTAACAAATATCTTCGATCAATCGTATCTCAATTGAATTTTCGAAAAATGGAATTTAATTTAAAAAATGAAAGAATATCAAAATTTTCATGGCCATGTAATTGTTCAATTCAATATTTGATCATAAATGAAAATATATCTATGAATAATCTTTCGAATATACTTCAATGTTCTCCTCATTTACACAAAATTATTTTGAAACAGGAACTTGAAGATATCATCACAAATGTATCATTAAAATCTACACGTCCAATATATTTTCCACAGTTGACATCATTAACTATGGAAAAATATTCTATGACTATTGGTGAATTGGAATCATTTATTTCATTAACACCATCACTTGTATATTTAAAACTTATTGGTGAACAATGTATATTCGATGGAAAACGATGGGAACAATTCATTGAAATAAATCTACCTAATTTAGATAAATTTGAATTTTATTTTGATTATTGGAGTTTAGAGAAGAAAACTTCAGAAGATCTTGAACTAATTATTGCATCTTTTCGAACTTCATTTTGGATTGAACACAAAAAATGGTTTGTTGCTTGTGCATATGATAATACACGATCAAACATCATTCATCTTTACTCAATACCAATATGCAAATCTTATTTAAATTACAATATCGAATTATATAAAAATGCACTTTTCAATAGTACCACAATAATGAGCAATCATCAATGCATATATAATGATGTCAATTCTCTCTATCTATATTTAAATAAAGTATTAGCCAATTATATACAAGAGAAAGTATGTTATTCGACTAGAGTTATACATTTCAATACATATAAAACAGCATGCAATGAGAATTCATTTGACTTATTTTCTCTTCGCTTATCATATATCGGAATAACGAATGAACCTTAGTTTCATCTTTCGTCCTTCTTAGTTCGTTCTCGTTAAAATTATCAATCAAAATAAAATAACAAAGATTAAAGGACTATCCTCAAACCTGTAAAGAAAGTTCTTTGAAAAGTAGTTGAATTCGGTTAGATTTACTAACAATTCATAAAAAGTAAGGAATTCTATCGAATATTATCGTATTCCATTATTTTTTAAAGAAATTTATAAAACTCTGACACTATTTGTGAATAGGATGAAATCAGATAAAAATATTTGACAGAAAAGAATGCTGTATTGATGTTAACTATATAAGATTTTACACAATACAAACAATCTCAGATTTTCAGTGTACTTGAATATTTCATTCATTATTCACTGGATGAAATTTTGTTCTTTATGATGAAAAACTGTCTTATATCTCTTGACACTATCGTGCAGTATCGAAAAATATGATTTTTGAGATTAAAGATATTGTAATTCTTGATAGAGAAAAGAATGCTCTATCTTTCTATGCTATTTGATCATATATCAACCAATATCATAATACCCCACCCTACATCAAATGATGTGTGATAGGTTTTTCTTTGTATATAGCCTGATGCTTGTTTAATCAGTTTTCTAAATGTAGGAAAAATGGTTATGTTATCAAAAATGAATAGTTAAAATTTAGTCATTTTATTTAAACTAAAATAGTATCTGTATTTGAATATTTTCAGAAATCAACGACGAGTCAAATTATGTTTTCAAACGTAACTAAAGTTAATCTTCAATTTTACGAAGAGTGGTCATTACTTCCTCTTGAATATCTTTCTATTTTTATCGATATTTCTCAACTAGTTCAAATGACATTGGTTAGCTCTTATTTTACCGAATACAATCAAAATGTGTTAGCGGACATTCGTAGTTTCATTGAACAAGCTTATAATCTTTCTGCACTAATTATTCAAACTGGTATGTATAGATACAATTTAAATTTGGCAATAGAAAAGATACATGATATTATTCCATATCATGTAAAATATTTACGAATACCAATCAACAGTACAGATCAAATACAAATAATCCTCAATAGATGCAATCATTTGACACAAATAGCATTTGACATTAGATATTCAAATTTCTCTGAAGAAATCATTAAATGGTTTGATGATAATACTATGAATTCAACATATTGGAAAGATTATCAAATGGTTTCTGTATGGCTTGGCACAAGAAAGATTCAATCAACTGAAATATATCTCGATCAAAAACGCATGAAACTTTCGTAAGAACGACTCAGAACTTTAACATATTGGGTTTCATTAACTTTCAATAATTAAGAACTCAGAGAATTATTTTCAAATTTAATAAAGTTGAGCGTTACAATTTCATATGATATGATCATTGTCTTCTTCTAATATCATTGTTTTAAAATATGTATCAAGTTGAGTATGGGTATGGATATTGATTTGTATGTGGTTGTTGATGACGAGACTGCTATCCATACTCCGTACTCATACTCTGTTGTCGGTAACCAATTATATGTTATGATTCATTGCCTACGACGGATACTGATCTTCTCACTAGCAGTGAACGTGCTTGTAAAGCTCTAGTTATGTGCGATTTTCTTAAACTTTTGATTTTGACATTTTATAGAGAACAATATCAATCACATGTACAAAAGTATCAAAAGGGTGCGAGTATGGGTGTGTTGGGCACAGTGGACAGAAAAAAAGGGACAGGAGCAGTTCTCAGGTACCAAATAGCTTTTGAGTCGAGACTATGAGCATTATGTTGGCTCTAGTGAGCTATGAACATCCTGAAAAAAAGATCGTGCTACTAGCTTATTTCTGTCGAGATATTTGATCTTTACATCATTTTTTACCACAACGGCGTAATTACCCTCAGGTTTACGTGGAAAATCAACTTTCAAATTTTCACTTGAAACTTTGTGCAGAGACAGGTCTCAATGAGACTAGTTTATTCTGAAAGTTTCAGATTTTTAGGTTCTTTCTATTATAAGATACGAGTGTAAGAAAAAGTGTCCTTCTTCACATGACTTATAGCACAAAATGTTAAATGTTCATATTTAAGGATAGGAGCAACCCAGGAATTTGAAATTTTCCGAATAAACTAGTCGAGTTGAGAACTTTCTTTGCAGAAAGTTTCAAATTGAAATTCGAAAGCTGATTTTTCAGGTGAACCTTAGAGGTACCGCGGCGTTGGGCCACAAGATACTGGAAAAAATCAAATATTTCGATAAGATTTTAAGTTCACATCTTTACGCATCCATTGAAGATAGATGATGATATGCTCTACCGAATAACATAATAAAACTTGAATTTAAACTCTCCGCAAAATTCCGCAAACGAACTGCATTATGTGTGGGTGTGACTGTGACTGTGGAGAGAGCACAGATGCAAATCTACACTAACACTCACACCCACACTCTAAAATTATAAAGTCACAACATTAAACATATGAAATTCATGAAAAAATTTCCCGATAAACAACATTATGTGTTACTGTTTGCCAATGATCAATTTTACCCTGTCTAGTAGTATCTTTTACTTGAATTTTTAAATCATTAGATCTCGTTGCTCTTGAAGATCCTGTATAAAACTGACCGTGAGCAAAGCATGGTTCTGGAAGAAAGAGGCCAACTTTATCAAAAGTTTGGCCTTATCATCCAATGTATCCAGAGAAGTTCTAGCAATAAAATGAACAGTTCCAGAAAATGCACCAGTAATAATTTCTAATTGAAGCACGTTTTGACAAAAGGCTCTAATAATCATTCTAGTTCCATCGCATAGTCCTTTGTTTATCGACAGATTTCTCAAAAGCATTACTATACAACCGATTTTTAAATTTAATTTATATGGTGGGAATATAGATGAATTCAGAGTATTTAGAAATTCTACTGGAATATTGACTTGTAAATCATGATCGTCTACACCGTCATCATTTTTTTTGCAGAGTCAATCGCGTAAAGACTCATTTGTTCAATATTTTTTAAATTTATCAAAACGCGTTCATTTAGTAATCGAAATTCTTCGTTTCTTGGGCAGAGAATTTCGTACCTTGAAATTTTCCAACATCAATACAAGTAAAACTATTACCAAAAATATCTGTAATTATGCCATTAGATATTAAAGAAATCAGAACTTTAAATGAAAATTGGGTTTTAGATATTGCTGGTAAAGGTATCATTCCATCACCGATATCTAGGAACTATTTAGAAAAAAATAGGGTCTGTGGTAGGTCGTATATTGCGTCTTAATTTGAATGCTTGAAAAAGAGGCCAAACAGAAGATTTTTTAATTGTTGAAGCAATAATGACACATCAAGATCCTTTTCTAATAACTGGCAGAACTTACCGAAAGTCACCCTTCTAACACAACAACTTTTCCACCAAAAGGTATTTGAACATCTAACAACTCTTGAAATATTAAATCAACTATTTCTAAAGCTGTACCTGGTATCATGGAAGCTTCATCTCAAATAAGCAAATCTATCGATTTCGAAAATTCTTTTTTGGCTTGAGTAAGTCTAGTAAATTTTACAGTGAAAAGGTCTAAGGGTAAACTAAAGGTTGAATGGCATGTAATTCCACCTGGTGATAAAGTAGCAGCTATTCCTGTTCATGCAACGATTAATGGTTTTTTACCAATGGAGATTAACTTTTTGAATTAGGGCACTATACAAAAACGTTTTCCCGCTTCCACCGGGTCCGTCTAAATAATAACATTTCTGCGAGTTCAAACCGACTATCGATTTTAAAATAGTATTCACAGCTAAAAGTTGATCACTATTAAGATCATTCCATAATAAATTATTACTATTAACAGTATAGTTAACTAAATTATCTTCGAAATTAGAAAACGGTAGAAATTGATTAAAATCGAAACTATCTTGCTGAATTTGCGTTCATATATCATTAACGCATAATTTTAGAGATTTTTCTGCATTGCTTGCTTGTTGAATAAAATCTTCAATCATATTTTCTTTGAAATCTTCGAAAAATTGCAAAGGATTTGTGGAATTACAATGACAAATAATTGTAACTGATAATGATCGTAAAGATTTAGGCATCATATAACTTGATGCTTCATATATACAATTATGCCACTGATTGGAATCATTAATTAAACATCTAACTCGTGCTGCTTCTTTGTATGTCGAATAGGTTTGTCCATTGAATTTTTTAAGATTCTCAAAAGATGTAGTGTCAGAATCTTTCATTGAGAGCAAAATCAAACGAAAATGATACAATTCTACATCTCTGGGAAATGTAGAAATAATTCTACCGATTGGTTTTTCTCCGTAACGAGAAACCTCTGAACATTTGACCCATTTTTTTATTTTTAAATACATAATGATTAGGAATATCTTACACTCGTTGCAAAGCAGTTTCAGCTTGATTCTCTTCGAAAAAGATGAATTGGCCATCTTTCAAATGAATAGACAACATGACGACATTATGAGATTGACCGTGAATAGGAAAATCTTGAAGATGCCAAGCTGCTTCTTGAGAACTAATATAACGATAATTCAAATATTGTTTGATTTTGTCATAATCAACAACTTTTTCTACATTGTCGTTTGAATTTACTTGGACTCCGATTTGAACACAGTCATAACCCATTGTAATATATTTGTTAATATATTTGATAGCTTTAAAAATTGAGCATAGTTCAACATTAATATGAGCATTATATTTAAGACTTAAAAATAAATTATATGGTACAACAAAATGATTATCTACTTGAATATTATTACGTGTAAAATGAGCTTCGTTAGAATTATTTCGGCGTCTATATATTCTATAACCATCTGTAGATACATCAGTTTCATTGCAGAAGGCTTTAGGAAAATTTTTGAAGTAAGATCCTTCAACTATACAAATTGATTTAGGGTTTAATCGATCACATGGTCTATGAATATTTTGCGTTAAAATTACGCTATACAACTCGAATTGTACATATCGATCCGGTAATTCAGTAGAGATAATATTATCAACGTCGTCTGCTGTTCTAATTTTTATCTTCATTGGAGAGTGTAAATGAACAATAGGCATGAAGAAGACCGAATTTTTGATGCTCTATAGCGTATATGTATGCCAAAATTTCTTCGAAATTTTTTTTAATTTTAAACGAAATACTCGGGTTACTAAATCTGGTCTATCAGATGAATTTTGAAATGGTTTAAGTTCGAATTTTATTTCTTCTCATTTAGGATTACATGTAATAGTAATAAATAAATCAGGACGGTCAAATTTCGAAATCATCACTGTATTGTCCTGATATAATTTGGACATAAAATGGGAATCACCTACAAATGTTGAAGGAAGAATAAATATATTATCAACACGGGTGTTTTTATCTCGACCGATGTTATTAATGTGATCTAATAAACCTTTATACGATTCGACACATAAAGTCTTTTGATTATTTCTGATATACGTTATTCGATTTACTTCATAACGGACCTACGCATAAACTAAATATTGTTGAAATAATTTTCCGCCATAGAACAAAGGATTAAAATGATTTCGACGAAGTGCAATTTCGTTTGAGTAAAATTCAAGTATCGTTCCTTTATTTCGTGTTTTAGTGGCATGATCCATATTATGCGACAAATTTGTGGTCCATCCAAAATCACCATTTGGGGAAAAAGTAGAAAAATCATAGGATCGAGATACTTAGAGAACATATTAATCCTTTTCAGAGTATTTGAATTATCTGGCTGGACTGTAAAATCATGTTCAGCAGAAATATTACCATCACAGTCAGCTACATATACAATAGCAACATCATCTGAAGTTCGAGGTGCATTATAGACCCTCTGGTCATCATGAAGATTTCGAGTGAAAATCAAAGATATCTTTTTCATAGAAGAACCGATAATTTTCACATTAGATAGTTCTTTTTCATAAATTTTTCGAAGTTTACAGTGGCAATTGGTATAAGAAGATACATCATTTAAAACTACATTTATGGTAATCACAGTATCACGAAGATATTGGGCATTCATGGGGTCTGCCATTCAAATCTCAATACAAGTGTCCGCATCGTAAACATTCAATTCAGCATAAGATGGCTGATGAATAAGTTTTTGAACGGAATTTGGCTGTAAAGTAGTATTGATTTAAGTCTGAGTGCACATCGATGCGAAAGCGTTCGTATTATTATATTGTCGAATGAATTCGTGAAAATTTTTACATTTTGCATTAGTTCCTATGAAAAGATTTTTTAATGCGATAGGAAAATTTTCAGGTCCATTCTGAACA